CATGGTCTAAAGCAGACCTTTTTTGTAGGTATAGTAGTGAAAATCACGGAAATAAATGCTATCTATTTATTTCTCTGTTTACTACATTTGAGGCACTTTGCAGAAGAAAATACACAGCAATTTAAATGATGGTTATCTACCAGAAAAAAAAAAAAAAAGTAAAATAAATAGCTGCTTCCAAGTGTAGACAAACGACCAATTGCTATAGAGACAGGGGAAGTCCCACGTGTCTAAAATAAAGCTAATGTTGGCTATTTTTTTGTGAGTGTGAATGGATGATTGTTGTGGACTTCTTTTTCTGACCACATATAAAGGACTGATGGCTTAAGAGAACATCAATAAAAGAAAAAAGGTGAAGATTGTACATCCGAGGAGGATGGAGACTGTCTTTTTAGCAAGGAGATGAAATGCAGTTATGCTGTATAACAAAGTACATGTGAGTACAACAAAAATCAATGTTAGGCTTGTAAAATAGAGCACATAGAAGATGGTATGTGAAAGAAACAGAGTCGATGCCTTTGTATGTGGCAATTGTGAAACCGACATTGTTGAAATGTTTGGTCCAATTCCGTTTTCCACCATTTATAAAGGCCATTAAAAGCACTGTAGCTTCTTGGGAAAGAAAGCCAGAAAGTTAGAGGAAAAGCAGCTGGCCTCAGAGATGTATCCGAAAAAAACCCAAACAACAACAAAACCACAAAAAAACCCCAGTGTAAGCTTCTGTGTTTCTATTGTCCAACCCACCTAAGTTGTAATGTGCAACTGGTGTTGTTTTCTCTTATGGGATGGTTGCACATTTAGAAAAAATGAGCGAGGTACACTTTTGTAAGGCTGAATAATGAGTTATGCAGCTGGAATGGATTCCAAATATAGGTTATTGAGATGCTGTGTGCAGCCCTGGCTGTACGTACCAGCAGCGGCATCCAGGGGTACCACGCTGTGCCAGACTGAGCTCATTCAGCTTTTCTTCCACCCTCTGTTCACATCACTGTCTGTTGGACTCCAAGCAACACACTTTCTATTTCCTTCCCATTGACTTTTCAAGGATAGTTGCTGATGTGAAGATGCCTGGCCACAGCTCGAAGACAGGCAGATGGGTTATAAAATTGGTATTTACCCTAGCACCACTTTTACAACTGGTAAAGAAAGAAAAAACAATCTGTAGATGGTAGATTGAAGGAAATAAAACAGTCACTAAGACACCAGCGAGGTTGCTGTTGGTCTCCATTGGGATGATCTGTGTATAATGAAAAGCTTTGTTGATTAACTATTTTAATGTATAGTAAAATGTGTGGTTTGATCTATGTGCAAATAATTCACTTTTGCAGTTTATTTAAATGTTTGTTAAGGACAGAGATCTTATTTTACGTCTCTTGAAGTAAAATAGTTACTTGACTGGGAAATGTTTGAATCTGACAATTGTGTTCTGAAGAAGTTAGTATTAACATCACTTCTATTATTTTCTATAAAACTGTAGTTCTCACCTGTACAATCACTGATCTTTTTGCTAATATTAGTCTAAATATGCCTATGCAATGTCACCAAAACACAGTGGAAGGTAAAAAAGGATTTTATCTGTTGTTATATTCATGTAGATTTCATAAGATCTAGATTTTTGGTGGACTGCACTGTAAGATTCAGTCTGTACTGACACGTGCTGGAGTATGTGGTGAGGTAAAAATAAAGGATGAAATAGTACGAAGATTGGCTTTTGTAATGTCAGAGCTTAATGTGTGTATTAGTAATATCTATTATTCAAACATCCGCTACTTTAAATAAATAAAAAAATACTGTTAGTAATTTATGAATCTCAAATCTAAAGAAAACAACTCTCTAGCTAGATCTTATGGTGTGCTACCCCTGTGGCAAAGAAATGATTTGGCGTGAGCCATAGAACATCATCAGATTGTAACTCACTTTTTATGCCGTAAATCAGCACAGCATTTCTGCAAAAGAGGTTTCTGAAACACTGGTTGATTTATCTCTTACTAGCATTGCTGTAAGTTTATAAAATGAAATACTACAACTTTTTATTATATATTTATATCACTTTTTTTACCCCAAAAGTAATTGTCTTTTTTTTCATAAAATAGTGGTGTAAGCACAGAGCAATGCGTGACTCTCATTAGTTTCCTTCCTTTTCCTATTTTAAGAAAGGAAGGTATCGCTATTTAAACAACTTCTCAGTGTTCATGAGGAACGCTTCTGCCCGCCACGTTGGCAGAACCAAATACTGCAGCAGCAATACTATGTCCATGTCTGCTCGCACTACCTAAAGCCCCAGAAAATATCTAGGAATATTTCCTCACCCAGCACACAGGAATTTTAGAGTCTTGAGGGGTTTAAGGTACTTGAGATGCTGTAGCTACTTGTCACATATTATTACAAAGCAGCATGTTCCCGAGGAGCAAAGAACCAAGCGGTAACTGCAGCTGCGGTTGCACTTTTGATGCCTGGGTAATAAATATGTACTGTCATCGTTGTGGATTGCACTAGAGATTCCTGCTTTGAGGCTTTTTGCTGATGTATTTTTTGTTGATTTTACCTTTGAAAACAGATTTATTTGTTGGATTACACATGGAATAAATAGCCTATTTCAATTTCTCAAAATAGTTTTTTTTCCTATTAGTGTCTGTATGTGTAACTCTGCAGTTTGTGAAGAATACCCAGGACAACATCAGACCTCATGAAATAGCATTTAGAAGTTGTTATTCCTTATAATAACCCATTTGATTTTTTAGCATTTTCCAGTAATCTTAATGAAAGTAAAACACTGTGATCGAATAATTTTTCAGATAACAAGGACATTTTCACATGAGTTGTTCCATAACTCTTTCATCACCATCATCCATATCTTTTTTTTTCTGCTGCTTAGATCAGTATAAGTCACATATCTTAGCAAAGGGAAGTTGATAAAAACAAATACTTCTAAATCTATAACTCTGTTTATACTTTTTTAGAATTCAATTTTTTACATTTATTCAGAACATTCAGACGTGATTTATATTTTGTTGATAGTTTCAGAACATGTCAGTGAGGATGTATGTATCTCCAGTCAGTAGAAGCACATGGTATGTGTCTGTCCAACTGAATGATGAAAATGTGGGTGATTTTGCAAGAAGCATTGAAAATATTGCAAACCAGTTACACTTCAAAGGTAGAAAATTTTGTCAGTGGGTATATTATACTGTCAATATTAGATGACAATCATAGATGACTGTCGTCATAGATGATAGCAGTGATGCTTGCTGTATGTTTATCTATAAATAGCACTCTAGTAGACTAGAACTTACAGTCCTATTAACTTGTAATAAAAGAGTAAGATGAGACAGAGTTCAGGTAAAAGGAGTAAATTTCAAATAAAATGAAAAAGTAACTTTTCCACGCAGTGAAAAATTTAACTACAGAATTCTTCGATACAGGTCACAGAACCAAGAATTTAACAAGTTTAAGACTGGATTGACTATAGATACATGTCTGCAATGTGACACTTGCATAGCATCTTTACAAGTCTTTTCTTTAATATTTTCTACTCTTTTTTACTTAAACCAAGTAGCTGCTTAAACCAAGTAGCCAAATGCATTATGATTATGTTCAAACGAATGAAGGGATATTAAAAACTACTTCTCCAAACTAAAGGAGATCTGGATGAAGGCTGCTAAGGTGCACACAGAAATCTGCCTGCTAATGTTTTGTGCTCTCTCCTGGAGCTGTGTTAGCAGCCACTGGATGACACTTAGCTCAGCTGGATTTCAGTGGGAGCAGCTCCTGTGTCCTTCCGCAGAATCTCTTCCGTTATCAGTGTTCACTTCTCTTGCTCTCTTTATGTCACAGATTGGGGCTTTTGGCTTGTAAGGCTTAGCACAAGGTAGCTTACACTTGTTGGACGGTGTCGTCTTCTGTTTATCAAAGGGCAATTGTGTTTAGTGGCTTGCAGGAAATGTGGGGTGAGTGTGCTGTACTGCACAGCTGTCGTATGGTTCCTGCAGGGAGCTGACTTCAGTAATTCAGATGGCTGCCGTCAGTGCATCCTCTTAGAGATCAGAAGGGGTTACCCAAAAAGGGCCTGGCTTGCACAGAGAAATGTATTGTAGCCTTACGTGCTTATCATTTGGTTTCTCTTACCCTGATGTCTGCTAAAACAAAGGTTAATGGAGATGATAATAATAAACTAAACTGGGGATGCAGTAAAAAAGCAATCTGTATTGACAGTACTCAACACTCCACTGCAGGTTCAAAATATTAAAAAGACTTCTTAGCCTAGATGAATGAAAACCTCTTCTTTCATACTCATGAAATAGATGAAGTAAGGAAGAAATTTAACAAGACCTTTTCTTAATTTAAGTCAGAAGGATGGGATGAAAGATGGGATTAATTTGCTAGGGATATCTGAGGAGGTTTCAGAGTTACATGAGCGTTATTTTGAGGAGTAACAATGTGTAGCACAACAAAGGGTAGTACTGACTTAAAGGCATTACATTTAAAGAGGATACTAGGACGTGCGCGTTGCTGTAGTACAAAACCAAGCTACAAGGGCTATTGGTATCCACAATCAAGTAGGACAAGTATAGAAGATAACAAGTAAGTAGGTTATAGAGCTCTTTAGAGAACCATATGATGAATGAAATGGAGAACAATTTTCTTGTATGATCTTTGATAGCTCTTGCATATCCTTGATAAAAACAGTGACGCAGTGAAAATCATTTATGTGCATATCTCTTATCATCTAAGATGCAGTAAGTTAATGGCTTTATTGTACATCCATTTCCATCCATGAAAAGTGGGTGATAACACTGGTCAACTTTCTAAGGCCATTTGAAATCTGTTCAAGAAAGCCTTAAGGAGGTGTTATTGAATTATTTTAACCTTGGTTGAATCTGCTGTCTTCAAAGGTTAAACCTTGCTTGTGTAATTTTAATAGTGAATGGAAAATAATTGCAGTGCTAATGAAACTATGAGAGATGTATAAAAATTTTAAGGTATTTATCTATTTTATTTAGGGTCAAGTTGTTTTCAGAAATGGAGAGAGGATGGGAACCATCAAATTTACGCAATTCCAAGGTAGGTTGCAAACAATTTAATTTCCATTATAATTATGTACGCATTTTCAAACCTGTGTGTCAGTTGCCTTTGTTTCAGGGTGTTTTAAACAAGTACAATTAATTTGAGAAAGAACTGCTTGGAAGATGCAGGATCGTACTTAGAAGGTTTTGTTACCTGTTTAAAATACTGTGTTTTGAATCCTGAGTACTCTGAGCTATTTCCAATAATATTTCTAGAAGAAAATCCACATATTTGTAGAAACTACTGATCTATAACAGCCAACAGCTGTTGAAAAATCTACTGGTCAGCTAAGCATCCTCTTCTTAATACAGTTGTTTCTGAAAACCGAATCTGAAGAGGAACTTAGAGAGGATTGTTTCTGTTAAGCCCTTTCAAGTCAGTCTTTGTGCTTTCTGAAAACTCAGTTCTGACATTCTGCAACTGCTTGCTGGAAGTCACTTCAGGAGCCAACCCCTCAGCGTGCAGAGGACACAAGCTGCTGACCCCATCCCTTGGAGGCAATGCACTCCACAGCGTGACTCGCTAAGCCTGCTGCATCCCCTCAGCCTGAGCTGCTCCCGCAGGGAATGGTCTCGGCAGCAGAGACCGCAAATGCAGCCGTGAGGATTTGTCAGGGGTCATTCGCAGCCGGGACAAGGTGCTTGCTTGGGAGAGTTAGCTGCAGAAATGGTGGCTCACAGACGACATGTTTCTGCAGTTTATAGAACGCGATTCAAGCTTTTGTTCCTAGGCTTTGATAAAACCAGAGATGATTGCATTTGGATGGTCTCATGAGAGTAGTACTGAGAAAGCTGGCAAATCCTTTTCAGACAATGCATGCAAAAGCAGCTTGCACTCCCTTAGTCTTCAGGAGATCAATTTAAACATCATCCTGCTGACCAGGTTACAAAGACTCATCTTTTAAATGGAAGTTGTCTGTTATATGGGCATTATTATTAACATGCAGCACGGCACTGGAGGGGATCTGTTACTCATTCTAACCTGCTGAAGCAATCTTTGGGATTGCTCTTGCCTTCACAACTATAACTGATGCTATTAACTCATGTTCCCTGATGCATTTCTGCCCACTAAAACTTTGTAGATGTCTCTCGTGACAATACAATTTAGAAATTCTTGCTCAACACTAATGATAAATATTGATTGCTTCCTCTTCTTCCCCTCCCCCTCCATTTTTTCATGGTAGCAGTGTTTACAGCCACATGAAAGAATCATGAGAAAATACTGTGAAGGGATTTTACAAGAGGTGTTTATTCCTCAGAAGTCTGAAGGAGCCCGTATGCATTCTGCCTGAGGCAGCTCTGTGTACCCTTCTAGAGCATCTGAGCAGGAAGGAAGTTTGGCACATTCCCTCTGCCCATTAAGGATGTGATTGGGGATCATGGGGAGGTGCAACATGTATCTTCTGAATTCATCTGGAGAGGCAGTAGAAGTCCAGGGTAGCTGATTTTATATAGATTTTTATTTCCAACCATTCAAATTGAGTTTCTTTGTAATGTTTTCAGTTTCACAGCAGATGCGATTTAACACAAACAGTTTTACCACCAGTTGAAGCACTGCTTGGCCAATAAGAACACAGGAGACAGCCACCCATTTTATAATTTCTTGCAATTACAAAATTACTATTTCAGAACTGATTCAGGCACATACTCGGGATCTGATCATCAACCAAAGATTTCCAATTAAACTACAGGAAAAATTAAGCCAGGCATCCTATGGAGTAATGCAGGGGAAAGGCTTGTTGTCTCTCATGCCAGCAATAGTCTGTCAACACATCTGAAGCCTGGTCTTAAGCTTTGTTTAGTTTCTTACTAATTTTGGAAATGGGAAGAATGTGCAAAAATGTATGGGCAATTGAAATAAGGAACAGTATAACACCACAGGTGAAAGTAATCTATCTATTTTAAAACCACAAGTGATATTCTAACTATTAACAATTTTTTTTTCTTTGATTGGTATTGTTTTTATACAAGGCTTTTATTTTCAATACTTGTGGTATAATTGTAGAAATTATTAATTTGTTTAAAAGAATACATTATTGGTTAGTAAGCTTTCTGAAACATTCACATTAACTTTTAATAAATGTTGGACTATTGGGGAAGTTTCTAATAATGGAAAGAAGTTAATTAAGTCCAGTACTTAAAATGGAAAATGGGCTTTTCCTTTGTAGTTATAGCTGTTAGGTGCTATCAACTTTGATACAGATACATAAATCATTGATTTTTTTTCTTAGCATATAATACAGATCATGATGATTTCTAGGAAAAAAAGACCAGATCAAAGATGTCTTGTAAATGCTTTTATGAGTTTAATTGTAATTATTAGTATAGCATATATTAAATGTATTAGTAGCTTATTATCCAAGCATAATAATTGGGAATCATCATTTTCAGTGTTCTATACCTCGAGTCATTTCTTCACCTACGCTGCTTTGCAGTTTTGTTAATAATTTGAATGGAAATGCACAGTTATCACAAATAATTCAGTGCAGAAAAATAAAAAAGTTAAATAGGTAATCATATCTCAGCAGTAGGATTCCTTGGCCAAAAATGCTGTTCCTTATTTGCCAGAGTAGAAAATTGGCTGGGTAGACTCAGGAGCTTCATTTTGTGTTCTTTGCTGGAAACTTTTGTGTTAATGAGACTATCTGCAAACGTTTTGGCTATAGAAAAAGCAGACAGCCGTGCCTGCCAGAGGCAAGGGAAAACCAGCCTGTGAGGGTTCAGAGGGTAACTGCAGTACGCCTGACACACTGCGATGAAATTTTGAATAGCTAGTTTAATTTTGAATAGAGATACAGTTGTTCCCAAACTCAACTCTAGTCATGTTTCTTTTTCAGCCTCTGTTCTGCCTGATAGTGTTGCAAGTCGTCAAACAGATAGTGCCAGAGATAGCTGTGACCAAACTGCTTGCTGCTTTATAGATCATGAATACCACCCAGGAATGATCTAGTATGCAGCAGAGGATACAAAGCACATGTAACAGCGTTTTCTTCCCTTACCTTACTGGCAAATAAAGAGCAGTCTGTCAATCTAGCTCAAATATCCAAGTGATGTTTGAAGCTGGCGTCCTTCCAAATGAATGGCAATTTTTCCATGGGTGCAATTAAAGCACCATTCTCATTGTCAAAATGTAGTTCAAGTAGATGGCCAAAATCTTTTGGCTAGTGAGAGCTGAGAGAAGGTCCTGGCAACCGTTTTGTGTATATCAAGGAGCAGGGAGAGCAGTAACAAACCCGTGGTTATAGATTGCTGCAAGAACAGATACATACCTGTCCTTCAAAGTGTTTCACTTTGTCAGATCTTTTCTGATTAATCTGACAGGAGCCTAAAAGGCACCTTGCTTTCAGTCAGGCATTAGCGAAAATCTAAGACACTTCTGTGCTGGAGTAGGTTAAAAAGGAAAATTAAAGATGAATTGTAAACAAATACCATTGAAATGTGCATAAATCATGCTTCTTGTAGATAGGAAAAAAAAGTCTGTGGTTCTGCATATTGAGAAAACTTGAAGAAACTGGGTAATCATCTGCTATGTCTTTCTGGGAAGGACTTTAGCCTTTCAACTCATTTAGCCAAGTAATATGATACGATGTTTGTTAGTTTTGAAGGCTGATCTAGGCACCAAGAGTGAGAGCGTGGCTTGCCAAGTGTAACACCATTGATCTTCTTAGAAAAGGCCTTACTGAATTTCTGCAGTAAAAGTCCCAGATATTCTTCGATGAGTTTAATCAACAGAAATGGACAAACAAACGTCTACTCCACAGTAAAGAGCAAGGAACACAAGAATCCAGGATCACTTTCCTGTAGCCTTATTTCATCTACTTAGTTCTGACTTGTTTGTCGTCTATAGCTGCTTCAATGAAGGAGACAGTAGCAATTCTCCAGAATCACCTACAGATACAATAGCTCGTTCTCCAGTGGCATCAATCCAAACCTGGAAAAGTTTCCTTCTGTTATTCTAAATACAATCCAGCGGACTCTTAACTACTTTTGGTTGTTACTTCCGTAAGGTTTCATATAAATAATGAGACTTATTACCTTTGATTTTTTTTTTTCTATTTACCATCTGTCTGTTATATACCCCACAGAACCAGTTTGTGGATTTTCTTTCCATTATAATGTTGAAGGAATAAAATCCAGTAAATAGAAAATATTTAGTGACAACTCTGAAAACTCATGTTTGAAATATCTCAGGTCAAATATCTGGAACCTGTGGTGTCAAATATCTAGAATCAATGGATTCAGGTTTCTCTGCTTCTGCAGCGTATTTACACAGTCAGAATAAAATCTCCTTATAAACATTAAGGTTTTTTTCAGAGAATAAGGAGTACCTTTGAATAGCCGGATATGAACTTAGGCGAAAAGTAAATAAAGAAGTACAGTTGGCTGAGCAGAATTTGAACAGTGAACAATAAATAGTCACTAGTGTCATGTAATGAACAATAAAGGTGTAAAACAAACTGGATGCTGTTTATCCTGGGCAGATGGACTCTTCTGGAAAAGATCACTCTGTCATTATCCATGCAAAAAAGGGGATTAAGTAAGGACTCGGAAAGCCTACTTCTGACACATCCTAACTGGAAAGCTTGACTAGAATCACAAAAATGTGTGTGGTAGACTTCTTGGTGTACCATATCCACTCCATTTTATCTGTGTATGAGTAATATAGTTAGACTGTAGCCATTCATATCTTGGTGAGCACTGGTTTTTTTTGCGTAGTGATCGATTCATCCAGTCGAATTAAGTCTGTTAAACAGTACCTATGGTGGTTTGTGGCAATTTTCCAGCACTCCACACACATGAATCCCCCCTCCGCCCCACCCCAAACCTGCTTTTTCAGCTCCAGGGCAGTTAGTGGTGACTATGTGGAACCTTTAATAGGTCCCTCCCAATTGAAATCCCCCTAAATAATAGTTTTCTACATGCTGTCAGATGTTTCAATCCTGATAGTCTGAACTGTGGTATACAAAAGCGCACTGGTGCTATATTGTCTTATAGTTT